AAGCGCAGTTCAAAAATCTTCCAAAAGCGGGAAATCGAGGACGGTCTCAGCGCGCGCCTGCACATCTTGCACCTTTACATTGCGGGTTCACTAGTTACAAACATAATTCACTCAGTATCACATCACAAACCTCTTTATGGTAGAATTCCATGTTGCAGACCATACAGCCGATGGATGATCGTGATCATCCAATAGAAGCTGTAACATATAGCCTTTAGCTTCACTTAATAATGGAGGTGGTGAAAGTTACCCTTTTGACAAAGGCATCTTCCTCGAACAGCAGTTGACTTTGTGCGAAATCGCAAATTGGCGTACGGAAAACTCGTCTGTCTCTACCAGCGCTATATACAAATGAGAATGCTCTGTCTGTCTGCAAGAGAACTGTGTATTTTAACAAGTTAAAACCGACAAAAACAATCTAGAATCACAAACTCACTTGCAAAGTCCATACGCCTTCTTGATGAGCTAGACAAGTGGCAATACATCGCTGCTGTCCAAGATCCCACAATCGCACAGTAGCATCAGCACTTGCAGACAAGCACTAGAAATACGTTTGCATATAGTACAACATGCAGCTGCTCTTCAATCTTACCTTCGTTCCGTCAGGGCTGATTACAATAGATCGAATATTTTCAGTATGGCCTCTTAACTTCATTATCTTCTGACAAGTCCTGGGATCCCAAATTCGTAATACCTAAAAGCGACAGTGTAACAATGCTTCGGAAAAGCAAATCTCTGTTTTACTGGTGGAGTACAAAATCCAAACCTTTTCTGTGCTTCCTGAGATTATTACCGTACCCGCATCATTCATGGCTAAAGCGTAGATGCTATTCTTACAGCCCATAAGCGAAGAAGCTGAAACTTGGGCGTTAAGAAATAAGAAGAAAATGGACGCTAGCAACGTGCAAAATGTTTTTGGTCAGGGCCAAGGAAAAACATGACCAAATGCTCTGCATCCACATTAAATAATGAATACATTAGTGAAAAGTTTGATAGACTGAGAAAGGTGAGATAAATCTAAAAATTACGCTGCTGCTTCATAAAATTTAGACAGCATTGCTGATTACTCACTTGTCACTGTGTTATTTGTCGTTGTCAGCTTTGTCAAGGTTGCTATATCCCATAGATATACCGACTGGTCGTATCCGGCACTAGCAGCTCGCTCATGCTCTTTTGCATAAGCTAAGCAGCTTACATAGTCCTGAATGATATGACTGTTGCAAACTCGAGCATAATTTGATATATGTGATTTTACCTTATGAGTTCTCAAAGTTGACATACAGAAGTGTTTGGTAGCATTCCATACTTTTACGGTCGTGTCATTCGAAGCAGAAAGTACTGAAAAATCCTGTAAAATAGAGGAGAACACTACGACCTGAACAGGACTTACAAAACCGCCCATTACAGCATAGTATCATATCATTGATCCAATCTGTATGATGTTCCATGGCCTGGATGAAGGTCGCATGTTGTGGAGGACTGGGTGATAAAGAACTAGTTCCATTCCTCGATGAAGGCCAAGCCTCCTAGAGAGAAAAGTTGTAAATTTTTATAAACGTGAGACTAGACTATATCAGGATTGGCACTAGTGTTACCTTTGTTCCAGCTGATGGGACCTTCCATATTCGTATTATTGTGTCATTTCCAGCAGAAAACAGGCGCCCCGTTGCAGCGTCATACTGCAGAGCCGATACTGCGGCACGATGTCGATGCTCGTTTTCATCACGGATGATGAAGGACACCTAAGAATTGAATAAGTTCACCATCTTTAAACGAATGAGTTTCTTTGGCAAGCAAAAAGCATAGCACAGAGATTTCATACAAGTTGCACAGAAACAACGGCCAAGACCTCCTTACCACTCGCCAAAGTTTCCAAGTTCTCATCTCTAATACGAAGCAGAATCACGAAGGTAATCTCATCTTTTTTAGCAACTAGATTTTACGTCTGTGATACCTAACATTGATACCGAGAAGCCTACATATGGTCCATCAACACCCAAAACTAAACTATCTCTCGAACATCTTGCAAAAATGCACTATATGAATTTTTGAGAAAGATTGAGATAGATCTCACAAGTAAAATAAAAGCGATTGTTACCCAGGCTGTCTATTTTACTGTCCAAACAACACTAATATGACTTACTGATAACGAAGCTAACCTTCATCTTCGGTTTTCCTGTTCCATTCGTTGCCATTTTTATATTTGCATCCTAATTTCACCCGTTGCAGACCATAACCTACGATTCAGATGTGCGGTTTTAGGCTCTAATATGTGTTCTTCTTTTTCAAAATCGATGACGACTGTATTACCTTTTCATAACACTGTTCTCTACAATATCTGGTCAGGGATTTCCACAAATGGGTAATACTGTGGAATAAACCAATATTTGCAGTGTAACTATTCAATTCACAATACTTTTTACTCTTTCACAATACAACAAACACAATACCTACAATCTAATTGTCATAAAACACTTCACAACAGCAAACAACAGACAAATACAGTTTGCTTTGACCTTACCCTTACTGATATACACGAAAACTTAAACGAATTTCAAACGATAGATTTGAAAAAAAAAACAACGAAAGAAAAAGAAAAGAACGGGAATAAACTGGAGTATCAACATGATCAACAACGTTTGTGTGTCTGGAGGGTTCTGCGAGTAAATTACACCAATAACATTCACTATCCAGCGCCAGGATAGCGAACAAAGGTGCGAGGATCATTATTAAACGAACAACTTGCACGGAAACAATGTCACCATATATATTATAAACAGTGTACAAGAAGAGCTTTTAATATGGTATCGCTCTTTACGAGAAACTGTCCTCTCTGTCGGCCATCGCAATGCCCAAAGGATCGTCGAACGCCTATAATAACAGATAAAATGAGCGCAAACGCTGTAAATGTTAGCAAAAATTCTTATAAAGACTAAAAAGGAGGAAAAAATCAATCTATGGATTTTGTTACCTTGAAATTATGGAAATGCACAGGTCGATGGTCTTCGTGGTAATACTCCTTCGGGTTCGCCAAGCACACATCATATTTCATCGACTGTGACCAGCGTTGCCCTGCAACCGTTGCAATAAGTTATTGGTGCCAAAGCATACATATGCAAAATGACCCTTACCTTGGAAGTTAAAGTTCCACACTCCAGAGCTAGGCACCATAAAATAACCAAGGAACCTATCGGACAACAACATCTGCACTTTTTCGTAATGAGTTGGCATGTATCCCTGAAAAGAGTAGCTTTCCAACTAATATTGTGCAAAGAAAATAAGATCTGCCCAAAGTGAACTGTACCTTTGGATTATTTCCACGGTCTGTGTTCGATTTGCCCCATTCATAACCAGACGGTGTCAATTTGTATGCCGTTAACGAGACCGAACCAGGCGTGAAACTAAAAACGCTCATATATCAGGTTCTGTCTTGAAATCAAATAGCTTATTGACAAGCTCGCATACTCTAACACTCAAACAAGAATAACCGCGCAAAAAAACATAACTTCAGAGATAACAAAAAATGCAATACAGACAAAGAGATTTATCTCTATAAACATGTGCCCACCTGCATGTGATGATCACCGTCTTTTCTCCGTCCCAGCTGGCATTCTCAGAAAGAATCTTGGCGTGTGCTGTCACATCTTGAGGGGATAATTGAGGCAATTCATTTGGTTGTGTATGCATCCTAGATAGTACCTCGATATAGCAACACTATATATGAACAACAAAAAAAACCTAGCAGCTACTCACCATCCCAATGGCTCCAAATCCTTCAGCAACTCATGTTGTGGCAGATGCGTTGGGAACTGCACTTGCTGATGGTTTCCTGTCTGAGGGACCAGAACCACACATCTAATCTCTTTCACTTGCGGGTTATCCGCAGGCGAAATGCCGTACATGAATCCACCGATCTATACAGGATTATAACTCAGCATCATTTGGGTGCAAGCCAGACTACTCACCTGAGTTCTCAGATCGGAAATGGTGATGAATTTTTTGAGGACGTTCTTGGGAAGAATGTAGGTGAATCCAGTATCTTTCACATCATCGGAGCTGACGTAAATGTGCTGAGTTCTGAAACATTGAGATAATTAGATGCACATCAGCTGTAGCGCGCTCTATGGACATAAGTTGCTCCAAAGCTAAGGCAAGAATCCAGACAGTACTATAAAAGCAGAGAAACTGAATTGCAATTAATTTGTAACATGATTTACCTCAAGTGCAGATTTGTCGCAGAAATAGCTCTGATCCTCCACTCAGTCCTACTTGCAAATGTTGCTGCCTCGTAGTTAGATGTGGTAGCCGTGATGATTTCATCACCATGCTTGTTTACAGTTCGAGTCGTGGTGGCTGTCACCTAAAAAATGTCATCCTTGACTTCCTAAGGGTTGTTTCAGCCACTAAAGCTTGTACTCACTTGACTCTGTTCCTTGGTCTGTTTTTCGATATCAGCAATCTGTTGCCGTTGCTGGCTAGGAGCACTGATCTCCATACCCAGGATGATGTCTCTCACTTCGGATTGGGTGAGTGAAGCCACGTTTACGTTATTCTTTTTACCATAATCGGCCAGAATCATATCCTTGAGGGCCAGTTCAACCTGAAATTAAACTTCAAGTCATGAAAAAATGACGATAACAATAAGACATGGTAAGAAGAATATTCTACTTTCATGATGCATTTCAATTTTTGATGGAAAATGAGTAGGCTGGCTACTACTTACCTTGATCCACTCTTCATCAACCAGTGATGGCCAGATATGATGTGGTTCTGTGACTGTGGTCTTGTCAGGTTTCAGTATGACCTAGAAGAAAAGACGGATGAGTGAGAGCAAGTGAAAAACCAGTAAAGAACTATTAGTTGAATTGCGACTAACCTTTGTCTTATCCGGGTTGATATGCATACCTCGCATAATCAGAATGACTCGAGAAAACGCAGTATAACTGGATATCGTCTAAAACAATCTTCTGAGACCAAAATAGCTTCCCTTTTCGTTAGTAAGTGAAAATTTACGTAAGTTAGCTGAGACAAAAAACAGCAACAAACCTTCAACCAATCATCGTACAGGTTGAACAGCACCATTTGAGGTTCAGTTGCCTTGAGAATCAAGTCTCCAAACTTTTCGACCTAAACAAAACAAATGATTTCAAAAAAATTGCATGTCCGTAAAACTGAAATGAAGTCGAAAGTGATTAGAAGAGATGTTCGTTCATATAGTAGAACTGTGCTTATACAAGGAAAGCACCGATCTGTTCTATGGACAGCATTCTTTCCGAGACATCTTTTGAGACTTTTCACTAGGAAAAGCAAAAGTTTTCAGATGCTCGATGAACTACACCAAGTGAAAAAAAAAGAAGTCCACCTTCATGATAGCTTGGAACGGAAGCATCAGTTCAGAACCCTTGATGACGATGTTAGGGAAGTCGAGAAGATGGACCTAGAAAACAAAGACTAACATAAGCAGTGCTGTCAGAAAGACGATCATAAAATTCACCTCTAGAGGATCAAGCATAGCCTTTCTCGTTACAATGATCTGTCTCGGCTGTTCTTCAACGGGCAGAGATCGAATAAGAGCAGCAACTTCTTCGGCAGTTTTCCATTTGGCCAACTAAACTAGCAACACATGACGGGAGAAAAAGAAGGGCGAAGCAGGAAAACGTACCTGACTGAGACGTTTCTGTCCAGCCCACACAGAAGTGTGAATGATTTTCAAGAACAATTGTCCTGTCCTTGGGTTGAAAATGAAAATGGCACCATTGATAGGCTTGGTGGTCAAGTTACCCTCGAAAGTTTTGTGGATGGTTACACGATACACATTCGTGTCATCGACGAACCTATAAAATTTACCACATCATTGTGAAAGAAGAAGACCACAAATTTTGCTCATAGTAAGTGCACCCACCAGATGATCTGGTTAGAGAACAACTCTCCATAGTTCTGACTGGTAAGATATGGCTCAGTGGGTTCGGAACTGTACAGCTGCAGACCCTTTCGGATACGTTCTCGAAGTACATAAAAAGCTGGGTTGGCCTTGATGATCTTTGCCATAGCCTGGCGAATCAGCGGTTTCATTCCAGGGAACCAGTTACCGTAAGCACTGGAAAAACCATTCTCAGAAACTACAAGGTAAAATCGAGAAAATTGAGGAATGAAGAATGAATATAAATGCAACTAAAGCAATGAAATACATCTTACCTGTAGAGATTGTAGGCCAAATCCATCGCAATCAAAAGACCAGTCGGCGACGGATAGATGGACATATTGTCGGTGGTATAATCCAGGAACTTTGCCCTAGCGTATCGCTCGATATCGTGAGAATCATAATCTCCCCATCGAAGCTGCACGTCAATCCAGTATTTCTGCGTTGTTGTGCTATCCATCACATCCTTGCTATCAGCCAT